TTTTTTTAAATTTTTTATGTTCTTGTTTGTGTTGATTTTTTTATAATATTTCATATTTTCGTTGGTCATTTGAAATCCTACTTCATCTTGTTTTTTTTTAATTAATTAATTTATTTATTTTTATGTTCTTGTTTGTGTTTGATTTTTAAAATAATATTTATAGTATTTCTTTAGTTGCAATTGTGATACTTGTTGATTTTACACAGACAATAACTTTCTTTATTATTATTATCATTGTTATAACATTTATGAGAGACAGCATTGAATAGACATGCTGAAGGAATATCAACTATCCTGATGACAAGTGAAACTAATACTAGTTTATTATTATTATTATTATTATTATTAAACAACTTCACAGCACATACAAAATATACAAGAATAAACATTAACCGATAAGAAACAAAAAGGTTGAGAAAGTGCTGAAGGACTGCAAGAGAGCAGCCTTTAATAAGTAATAAGGTAAAAGAGTAGAGGAAGGGAAAGAGTGGAACAGGAAAGAGAAAGGAAAGAAACAAAAAGAAAGGAAAGACATATACTATGAAAAACAAGAAACAGAGGGTTTAGAAATATAACACTTAGCACAGGGACAACAAACATGAAATGTACAAGGATTAGAAGGGTCAAAATTATTTATAAAATGTTCATAAAAATAAGATTTAATACGGGACTTTAACGTAGAGAGAGACAGGGAAAGATCGAGAGGGGGAAGAGAATTATAAAGAACAGGAAGCCGGTTGAAATAAAAGAATCTGGATGAGTTATTAGGAGTGTATGTATGCTTTAGTCTTGACACAAGTCCTTTTTCAAGAATCTGTGAGCTAAGAGTGTCCATCTTCCCTGCTATTCCTGTTCTTCCAGGCTGTTGTCAAGTTCATAATTATCATTGCATATCATAAGTCATAACATTAATTAATAATAATTGTTTGTTTTTTAAAATAAAATAAAATAACACACTTGATAAAACAGTAACATGTAAAATCAATACTTTCTTTTAGCTGAAAACCTCCACTAGAGTATTGCAGTAAGTTCCAAGCACAGCTTGGTAAAACGAGACACCTACGGTGCATGGCCTCGCCCCTATAGCTGCTATATAGCATGCCCGCACTGCAATAGCTGTTTGATTATCAGCATGAAGACAGTCTGCTCAACACTAGCTTCCTGCTGTTGCACTTGCTCTTGAATACTTGCAGAAGTAGCAGCACTGCAGCACATACATGCAAGCAGCTCCAGCCCCTCCCATGCATGTAGATTGAAAGGTGTGGCATTCCATCATACTGGCATGATTGGCAGCAAGAAGACCATGTGAGAAAGAAGCTTCACTTTTTCTTTACTAATCAGCAATATATGATAAACTTGCTGACAAAAAAAGTTGCTGCCTTTGTATATTTGAGATAGTATAGGTACTTTAGTACCTATAACCCAGCAAATTGTTGCTCTAGCGCTGCACAAACGAGTGACCTCAACAAATTCAAGTAAGTATAACTCTTCATCAAGTAAGATTTAGAGAAATCTGTTCATATTATTTGAAGACCATGTTCTAATCTACTGAAAAATGCTACCATCTATCTCTAAAGTGCCAACACAACGGAACTTGGCCCAACTGCTCGATTTTCTTACTTTGAAGCTTCTATACCTAGCACTTGTATTTGAGCAACACAAAACAGTTAAGAAAGACTTTTCCACGCCAAAAAGAAAGATCTAGGAGCTTGAAACATGCTGTGCTAAAGTTATTGTTTATTAAAAACAAATTTCAGTTGTACAGAATGAATGACAGACAGACAGACACAACAACTACCTATACCTCGCGTAGGCGAGGCCAAAAATAACTTGCTTCTTCCAGAGCTGCAGATCTGAGCATGCGCGACCACACCCAAATTTTGGAGCACATGGCAAGCTTCTTTAATTAACAAAATGGCGGCATGTAGCTAAGATGGCTCGATCCAGCAGTCACAGTATCACTTTTTCCTTACTTGAAGAATAATCTGATGGGACATGGACCTGCGCATAGACTGTTGGAGTAGATTGGTGTAAGAATTATCCTTGTAGCACCAACTGATACTGAGATACACACCGACAACCGGATTGACAGGACTTGATGATGAAGAAGATGATGATGAAGATGAAAAAAGGTGGCTGAACAAAACGGCCGGTTCGCCGATTTTTGTCTTTTCGCTTAGACAAGGTCTAGAGCCACGCTAGTTGTACCATTGGAGTCCTCTGGTCAAGCTAAGGTCCTCTATAAAGTCTGGTAAGCATAGGAGCTCGTTTTCCCGGTATAGCAAGGCTGCAAAAGTCGTGGCAGCCATTTTGTTTGGGGGTGAATCCTACTTAGTAACGCTACCGCGTTACTAATAGTACAGGGTCGCGAGCCAAATTTTGCCAAAAATGAAAAGTAGAGAATTCTTCATTTTTATAACTTTATCTGATACATATACATGTTCTTATGTTGTGTAGAAAGCTTGAGTTGATTCCGATCAAAATTGGATTTTTTACGAATTTTTGAAGTTGTTCCAAAAACGGGCCAAAGTCCCTGTACTATATATAGTACAGGGTCACAGGCCAAATTTTGTCAAAAATGAAAAGTAGGCAATTCTCTATTTTATAACTTTATCTGATACATATACATGTTCTTATGTTGTGTAGAAAGCTTGAGCTGACTCTGATCACAATTGGATTTTTTACGAATTTTTAAAGTTGCTCCAAAATCAGACCAAAGTCCCTGTACTATAGTACAGGGTCACAGGCCAAATTTTACCAAAAACGAAAAGTATGCAATTCTCCATTTTTATTACATTTTCTAATACATATACATGTACTTATGTTGTCTACAAAGTTTGAACTGCTTCCAATCAAAATAAGATTCTTTATAAAATTTTAAACCTGCTCCAAAATTGAGTAAAAATCCTTGTAGTGTGTAGTACATGGTTTCAGGCCAAATTTTGCCAAAATTGAAAAGGAGAGAATTTTTCGTTTTTATAATACACACATAATGTGTATCCACACCTTTCTATCACATACAGTTATATTCCCATTCATTCTACACATGCAGGGGTCAAGATGTCTCAGTGTTCAAGCCTTGCCCTGATGTTATACTAATGGCCGACCTCATCTATTATAAAGAGGTAATGACCCTAGCATTGCTTAATAATAGTATTTCATGTATGAAGGAAGAGACCATTCAAAATTTAAGCTTTTCAGTTGTTTATTTTTGTTACTTTGCTGATATAAGTATTGTACTGTATTGCAGTGATATCTTCAAGTGTTTTAAGGCTGATTTACACTGCAAAGTTAACATAAGGTAAGGCCATACGTTAACTTTGCAGTGTAAATCCACCTTTATGCTATTACAGTGTATGTGGAAATCATCTTGTGGATATAATTATTATTAACAATCATGCATACAATTTAATGCTTTTGAAATTATTTTTAACATAATGTAGAGATAGTAATAGTGTATTATTGCTGTTATTTTCATTATCATTATTATTATTAATGGTTTATGATATTTTATTTTAGTAGTCATTGGATGATCTAGTGACTACAGTAACTGATTTATCAGAGGATGATACAGTCATACTGATGAGCTATGAAATAAGAACGACTGGAGACAAGGAACAAACTTACAAGCTGTTCTTTGATGTATGTTCATGTTGCATGAAATTACCTACTTTGTATTTTTCACACATTTTCCCTTTGTTCATATCTTTTTATACCTTTTCACTCGTCTCTCTCTCTCTCTCTTTCTCTTTAGAAAATGGAGTCGCATTTCAATAGTTATACTGTTGAGTTCGATGATCTTGATGAAACCTGTCGCAGTGAAGACATTAAAATTGTTTTCTTTAAATTAAAGAAATAAAAAATTAATTATTATTATTCAAATTATTTGATGTTTAATCATTTTTGTGTTAATTTTTGTACATCAGAACATTACATTTTAATGTGTGGGTGACTGAGCTGAAGAACCTCGTGTACTCAAAATGGCTGGAATGGAGAAAGAACTCGAGAAAGAGATTGAAGATTCAGAAGAAAACATCACTGGAGGCTCTACTGTCGACAATAGTCCACCACCTACTGCTGAAGTAGATACAGAAACATTTAAAAACTTATCTAATCCAGGTACGGATACTGCTACAAACGCTACTACTAGTAAATCTGTCATTACTACAGATGCTGCTATTGCTACTAACACTGCTGAGACTATCAGTAGTACAGGATCATCTAATGTAGCAAGCAAGGAAGGGAACAGCTCTTATCCTGAAGGCACCAGCGAGACACAGCAGCTGTCCAGTGCTGGTATTAGTCTCATTAAACTGTACAGTGACTCTTCTTCCTCTAACAGCAGCAGCAGTGAGAGCGATAGTGATGAAGATGATACTACTACTGCACAGTCATTAGATCATCATAATAACGATGAAGATGATACCGAAGATTGTAACACTTACCCTGTTGGTTCTGGAAACAGGAAATATGGCTACCCCATGATAGCAGATGAAGTGGATTATCGTGATCTTCCTCCGCCTGGAAACACTGCTCCTTGTCTCCCTCCCTCTATCCCCCTCTCTCCTATTGGGACTGTGTTACATACGATAGAGCAACTGACTATAATAGAGTCATATCCTGATCAACCTACTGTTGATGAGGGGACACACTTGTGGTCTGATGAGAGAGAATATATTGGAGAGGTTAGAACGATTAGCACGTTTGAATGTTAATTTGACAATGTACTGTATGACAGGGTTTACCATAAGCATGCTAAGTGAGCTAAACATACCGTATGGCTAGAAAATTTCGAGGGCATAAATTTTCGTGTTTTAGTGAAAAGCTCTTAATTCTTTAATTTCGAGGGAGTTAAATTTCGCGTTTTTGCACGTGCACTTGCATTAAGCCATTGATTTTCACATGCTGCGCATGCGCAGTGAGCATTTCCATGGTATAAATTTTTGTGGGTAAGAAGTTACCCACGAAATCCGCAAAATTAAATACCCCACGGAATTTTCTAGCCATACGGTAGTACCCTGGCAGTTTTGGAAGAATTTTAAAAATTCGTAAAAAATCTAATTTTGATCGGAATCAGCTCAAACTTTCTACACAACATAAGAACATGTATATGTATCAAATAAAGTTATAGAAATGTAGAATTGCCTACTTCACATTTTTGACGAAATTTGGTCCGCGACCCTGTACTATAGTACAGGGACTTTGGCCCAATTTTGGAGCAACTTTAAAAATTCGTAAAAAATCCAATTTTTATCGGAATTAGCTCAAACTTTCTACACAGCATAAGAACATGTATATGTATCAGATAAAGTTATAAAAATGGAGTATTCTCAACTTTTCATTTTTGGCAAAATTTGGTCCATGACCCTGTACTATAGTACAGGGACTTTGGTCCGATTTTGGAGCAACTTCAAAAATTCATTAAAAATCCAATTTTAATTGGAATCAGCTCAAACTTTCTACACAACCTAAGAACATGTATATGTATCAAATAAAGTTATAAAAATGGAGAATTTTCTACTTTTCATTTTTGACGAAATTTGGTCTGTGACCCTGTACTACAGTACAGGGACTTTGGCCTGATTTTGGAGCAACTTTAAAAATTCGTAAAAAAATCCAATTTTGATTGGAATCAGCTCAAACTTTCTACACAACATAAGAACAAGTATATGTATCAGATAAAGTTATAAAAATGGAGAATTGCCTACTTTTCATTTTTGGCGAACTTTGGCCCGATTTTTGAACAACTTTAAAGATTCCTTTAAAATTTAATTTCAATTGAAATCACTTTAGAAGTAGCAAATTAAGCAGACTTTTTAAAAAATTAATGATGACAATTATTTTTGTATTTGTTAGTTGTTTGAAACCATTGGCCCAGTCAAGAAGCCTTTCTACACAATAAGAATGAGCATTGATGAAGAGAGTCATACCTTACCGCCAGGCAAGGAAATATTTATCGCAAAAGACGAGAAAAACTTCACAAAATACGTACTAAAAGATAAACTAAGAGAAGAGAAATGGTCGGACGCCTCTTGGAAAAACGACAGTGAAGTACCTCTTGAATTACAAGAACCATCAGATGATGAGGAAGAGAGAAACAGAGCTGGGAAAGGAGCTAATAAAGACAAGAAAAAGAATAAAAATAACAAGCAACAAGGAAATCAAAATCAAAGATATAATTATGCTGCTACTAGAACTGATCTACCTCCTGCTCTACCTCCTCACCCTCCTTCCCCTTATCTTTCATTTCCTCCTCCAGTACCTCCACCATTCCCTGTTCCATCTCTTCCACCTCCTCCGTTTAACTTCCCTCCTCTTCCTCCTCCTCCTCCTTTCCCTCCTCCTTCTCTCCCTCCTTTCCCTCCCTCATCCCTCCCTCCTCCTCTTCCTCCATCTCTCCCTTTCCCTCTACCTCCTCCTCCCCTCCCTCCTTACACTATAAGACAAGCCTATCACAATAATAATAATAACACTCGAACAAGACCTCCTCCTTTCTCTTTTAGACCTTCTTTCAATGACTCATGCAATAAATAGCAAATGCTGCTAATATTATTTATGATTTGATTTGATTTGCACACAATGATTATCATTACTTTTTGGTAATATCCAATCGTCAACTTTGAATTCGTTAACAAGGCGTGGGTGTTCATACCATATTCGGGTGTGGCTGCCACTCAATAATTGAGAAGTAGATCTAGTGCTAAGAGACTATGGTGGATTACTCGAGGAGGAATTGGAAGATTCTGCCAAATAGCAAGCAGTTATCCATCTCTGTGACTGTTCCTGACAATAAGTTTATACCAGGGTAACTTTATAACGAGCATTATTACCGTTTTACTATGCAAATAATCTACAATCTAAGATTAGGCATGTAGATCTATGCAGCATTCTTGTTAGGTGTGCATAAGTTTTATCAAGTTTTGTATGCTTCCTTCTAGTTATGGTGGATTTTGTCCCACAGTCCGTTCAAACTATGGAATAACATACAGCAATGCTACGAGGAGTTTCTACAAGGAAAGGTTATTATCTCATAATCTCTCATATTACTGAATTAAAATCCCAATCTTTCTCCTTGCAGCCGTCAAGATGTCCTAAACACGAGTCGTAAGCAGGTCAAAGGGAGTGGAGAAAACAACCCTGCCATTGTTAATTCTGCTGTAGTTGTTCAACCAAAGCCACAACAGAAGAAGCAAGAAGGAGATCTGTGGATAACACCACTCCCTTACACTCTCCACCATACTAGCTCTAGGAGAGAGAAAATGCTTGAACTTGACAAGGTATGAATTGCAAATCAAAAAGCAATAGATGCTCCATTACATAAGTTTCCTACAGACTTCCTAGTCTTAGTCTACATTCTTTCCTTTCCCCTTTATATATAGTCGGCTCAGGTCCACAGACAGTTCTACAAAGATCATTCTGGAATGGTTTATCCAAATAAGGATATAAGGCAAAGGGCTCATTCAGCTCCACCCAACTGGAGGTAGATGCACACTTTCTTCTCAACATAATCCCACACATTTATAAGTCAATTAGATCTATGTCTCTATCTGTTTTAATATTATTATTTATAACTATTATCTCATCTTGTTGTAGGATGCAGATGCTTCACACTGTGCACAAATACGATCCATTGCCTCAGCTCTCTCCATCTCTATCATCAATATCTTATGTTCGTCAAACCTCAACTCTCAACACTCAGTTCTTACCATTTGAGAGAAGAGGATCTGTGAGGGAGAGAGCTACTAGAGATTCCTTCTTTCAAAAACGTTGAAAGAAACAGCATTTGACAGATGATCAAGATATGCTACATAAAAACTTAATAATGCATATACATGTAGGACTTTTTTTTAAGTAATACCATAAAGTTATAACCCATGTACACTTTAAATTGTACTATGTATCACTTTTCATAGCGTGAGATTATAATATGAACGGAATTATTTATCATAAATAGTGACAAGGAGCACAAACGAAGTAGCTATTTACACTTTCCTTAAGTAAGTTCCATTCAAAATGCCATTATTAAAAAAGGGGAGGTTGAGACAATATTATAATAGTACTTATAAATAGCCTAATAATCTTACTTGTAAAGTGCAGAGTTAGCTATTATGTGCAAATGTTTTTATGTAGAACGAGTGTAGCCTTACAATGTGAAAAATCAGTTATGGTATAGGAAGCATGCATAGATTATGTCACACACAATTTTCAGTAAATCCACTTCAACAACAAGTTGTTATAATAAATTATAAGAAACAACTAAAATAATATTTGTAATAATATTCTCACATTTTTAATATTTGAATTAAAAATGTGAGAGATTAATGTAATATGAGCTGATTTATCTATAGAACAATATCAATATGCTATTTATATTGTAACTTGTAAAGGAACTGTCATGCTTTCTTGTACAACATAGTCACTGCTATAAACCTGTGCCATCTTTATTATAATCCCGAGTTGTAGTAGGAGAAGTATGTTCAGTTGATGCAATGTCATACATTGCTGGCCAGGGCCCTTCCATTCCTTCACTATATTCAATTAAAATATCCCTACTACTACTATTAGGCCATGTATGACTAGACTCATCAATATGGGGAAGTTTGTCATTAGTAGTAGTTGTACCATGCCTTCCTACAGATGTTTCCTGTGAGTTTGTAGTGTTTTTCTTGTAATTCATTGGAGGGTAAACAGTGTACGACGGTGAAAGGGAGATTTTTAGTTGTTTACTGGGTTGAACGAGAATCTACAATAAAGAATTAAATAATGACATTTGTACATACAATGGATCCATTCATATACCAGCATTTGTTCATATTTTAAAAAGACTTTTAATTCACATGAAAGTAAGGTATGTACCGAAAATTAAAAATTTAAAAATTGTAACCCCCTGTGGGTGGGTGAAAACTTTCACTAGTTTCCTGTGCTCGAAAATGTTTATTTTGTCCCAAAATTCTTCACATTTAATTCAACCACAAGTACTCAAAGTTGAACTTGTCAAACTTCATCACCACATATGGTAGCAGTCTATATAGCAGTTTAGTACATAGAATCTCTAAACAGTTACAGTATAATTATTATTATATCAAGTATTAATTAGGGTCTGTAATGACCCTTCCAAAAATTGTATCAAACACCAGAGGACTTAAGTGACTTGACACACATACATTACACCAGTTGCTTATAAACACTGCTATTTGTAAAAGCTATCGTGGGTTGCATGGAAATGTGGTTAAGATTTCTATACTTGTGTAAACTATATAACAATGGACTGGCCTTTGGACCAACTTTAGTACCATGTATGTGAGGTATTGAATTACCTTCAGATCTCTGTTTTTCTCAGTGGGTTTATTTCTATAAACAATAAATAATAATAAATAAACTGATTGCAACTAAATATTGTCATTACTAACACAAGCAGTTTCCTCTTCAAGCAGATAACCACGATAAAATAACTAATGATGAGCAATACAGATGTCAGAATAGAAACTCCAATGATTACTGGATAATAATAATAATAATAGCAATAATTAATAATAATGAAATATACATTTGGTTTAATGCTTAGACTACTCAACCATCCTATGGGTATGCCGTTTCATAGCTCATTAATTTTTTATTGTCTAATTTTGTTCTAGTCTCACATTATGCATGGGGTTTCTTAAGTTCAGTAAGGATTCTGTTGTTATTGGTTTTTAAAATACCAGTACTTGTAACAGCTGCAGCTAGGGTTTGTATAGTGGCTGCTATTATATCATTAAACAAAAACTCTAAAATCTTTCCCCCCTACAATTACTCTCTCAATGACATTACAATTTAAGAATTAGTTACAGGATGTTGTGGACATGAGTGTGGTTGTAAACTATAATTGATAAATACTCCATGAAAACCACTACATGACCACCAACATGAAAAGATACAGAATACACACACATCAGGCCGCCTGGAGCCCAATTAATAGCAATGAAGACAAAAATGAATGTTTTGATGTCAACCGAAATGTATATAACTAAATTACTACACCAATCATATTGATATACTTGTTGTTTTAGTTGAAGAATAAACATCGGTATTAGTCAAATATGGTGAGTTTACTGCTGACTTAAGATGAACTATTAAGTAAAATAAATAATTGACTGATGACAAGCTAGATTATAAGTACCTTCATTAGTACAGTTGCTGCCATTACCTCTCATGTAATACCACTGTGAGTCAACTGAGAGTACACATCCAACAAATACACAAGTGGAGTTTATTGATACAAGATTTTCATAGTACCAACTCAATTCTCTAGCGATGTATCCATACTTGAGTAGACGAACCATTTGAACACTAAAACAATTGTAGAATTAAGCATAATTCTGATTAGAGTGTAAATAATCATATTCACTATGCATTATAATCATACTGTTAGTCTTGCTAGAGCCAAACCATTCCCCAGCACACACAGTCATTCAAGTTGGGTGGTATGGGGAAATGCCATGTTCTGGCTCATAAGATGACTATGTTATGTATTAATTAAAGCACTGTTGAGAGTAGGTTATGGAAATTATTGCACGAGGGGGGTCGAGAGGAAAATTTAGCACGAGGCAAAGCCGAGTGCTACATTTTCGTCGAGACCATCCCGAGTGCAATAATTTCTGTAATCTACGAATCAACAGTGCTTTGATTGGTTTGTAGTGGTGCGTGGGCGGATCAAATGAAATTTCAAAAGTCTAGCAGGTTGCCAGTGCAAGACAATCAGATCTCATTTATCACTATTATTATTGTTACATGTCTAGTGCATGTAGCTGAGGCTGTTATTTGCCTCTATCAAAGCTTGTGGTTAACAGGAAAGCCCATACGTATTATACTGTGCAGTACTATATATTCCACACAGTGCTACATTTTCTTACCATGCGGTTATTGGAAGTTGTAGCACTGGCGGCGCCTTTGATCCGCCCACGCACCATACTACAAACGTACAAAATTATTAATGAACCGGATTTGAAGGGATTTTTATTTACTATACATGTACATGATAGATACAGTAAATTAACATTTTCTACAATGAGAGCAATTTGGCAAAACTCCCAAATAACTGTAGCAAACCTTATTTATTTTAATTTCTTATTATTTTAATTATAGCAGCATGCTCACCTTTTGAAGGGCTCGGTCAAATTGCCTAAGTGGTAGCAATAGTAGTCAATTGCAATGTAAACATCCCTCCAAGTCTTTTCTTCAATGAGACTCATACTAACTGAACTACCAGCACATGTTACAGTGAATCTATGACCACTTCTAGCTGCATGTGAGATTTATATATAGGCCGGGAGAGACAAGATAGATTCAAAAAAATGGCATACTCAGTAGACTACCCCAGTATATATAGCTACTGACTTTCGTTTCTTGAGTTATCAGCACAGTAAGTATCAGCTAGAGAGATTTGAATCATCATTGTCCAACTAAGTGAGACAGCTAGAACAGAATGAACAAGTAGCTTAGACATCAAGTTGTAGGCTTGTAGCTACTGTACTTACGCTTGGAACTTCTCGTGGGGCCCTGATAATGCTGATATTTTGGGATCCCCCGTGTATTTCTTGTTTATGAAAAATACCCATTTTAATGGCAGACATGCTGTTGGAACACCATGCATGCTAAGTGAAAATAATAACAATATTTGTAATAAAAAGTGCATGTATGTGAGCAATAGTCAGAAGGATTGTAGGAGTGACATTATAGTGATGTAAAAGTTAATTCAATTAAGAGAAGGACAAGTAGCAATGTCCACTTCAGCTACAGTAATGTAACTTGAATTCATTAATGAATGAACTGTAATGCTTTCCTCTACAACATAGTCACTGCTGTAAGTATAAGCTTGTGCTGCCACTGTTATAATAGCAGGAGAAGTATCATACAGTGCAGGGCAGGATCCTGCTTCCACTTCTCCAGATCCTTCACTATATTCAATCGAAACAGTACTCACATTATTGTGGGGGAGCTTATCAGTAGTAGTAGTAGTACTATGACTTCCACCAGTTGTTTCTATAGTATTTGCAGTGTCTCCCTTGGAATCAATGTTTGAAGTTTCCTTGAAGTTTAGATCAGCACAGATGGTATGCAATGAATGAGAGTCTTTTAGATGCTCACTCGGTAGCATCTGAAAAAGATTTATAACTATTGTAATGACTGAACTCTTTCATTTATGTGCTACTAAGGAAAACTACACTTGCTATACATTTTGATAAAAATGTTAATATTGGAGGCATATTGGCAACAAATGAATCAGGCATACCCATAACTATAAATATGTAAAATTAAAGTGACTATTTAAGGTATATATGTCTATTTTTTCATTATCAATTCAATTGTTTTAGAATTTTCAATCTCGACGATTACATTTCTACATGAAATAGATAAATTAATTAAAATAATAATTCTCATTACTTATTTGTACACAATGCTGCCTTCCTTGTACAGGCAATGACAATGAAACAACTAATGATGAGTAATACAATCACTAGAATCAAAACTCCAAATATAACTGCCACAGTGTTATCTATTATAGCTAAAAATATTAAATTCATACTGATAATAATAATGACATTAATAATGATATCTTACTTGGGTTGCTTGCTGTAGACGGAGTTGTTTCATTTGTAGCTA